GTTTGATTCATTTAAGTATTAAATAAAGGGTTTTTATCTGGATCATGCTTTAATCATAAGATTTGTAGTGAATCTATGTTGAATTAAAATAAAAAACAAAATAAAAAGTCTTTAAACTAAAAAATAGCACCCAATTATTTTTAACAAAGAAAATAAGAGCTAAGGTAGTTTTTTTTTTTTTTTTTTTTTTTTTTTAAGCTAAAAAAAAAGGAGACAATATAAAAGGGATAGTACAAAATAAAGTGATGATCAAAAAATGGAGCTTGGGGTATGATAGTAGGGATACTATAAAATAAATGAGCTTTGGAAATAATGCAAAAATTTTGAACGTTCTACTTTAGCACCCGAGAAAAGCACCTTTATTATTTTTAAAAAAATTTTGAATGTATAAGCTAGGGTAGTTATATAAAGCAAAATAAAGGAGAAAATATATAAGGGACAAAATTAGTAAGGTAAACAAAGTTAAATGGACAGATGGGCACTATGAAATAATATTTTTTTAGGAGTAAGATCTATTTGTAATATTAGATAAATTGAGCAGTTTATTGGGACAAAAAGTAAAAAAAAAAAAGAGGTATTGGGGCAGCAGCAAAAGATAGTTTTTTGGTACTTGCAAAAAAGTAATTGGAATATCACTAATTGAATATACAATAAAGTGACTAAAAAAAAAGTAGGAAAACAAAATTAAAAAGGGCAGGTAAGAAAAAAAAGAATATTATTAATTTGGAGTAAATTTGACTTTAATTTTAAAATTAGAGCAATTTAAAGCAGTAAGAAAGTTTTTAGAGTATTGGGGGGTTGTTGGGATTAGCTAGGATGAAAAATAATAAAAAAAAAAAATGTACAATAGATAGTAACGTACACTATAGCCCCACACGATAATGTATTTAAGGGGACTTATTTAATCGTTTCAGAAAGTCAGCTTTTCTAAGGAAGGTAGAGAAATCAGTTCGTTTTAGAGGTATATTGTTGTCCCGTTGATGTTTTCCTTACTAATTTTTCCCCTCTCCGTGAAACATGTGTTTTTGTTTTCCTGTTTTTGTTTTCTCAGCCTGAACGAAGGGTTTTGACGTTTTTTTTTAACACTCTTTATTACATCCATTTTTCATTGTAATTGCGAAATTAGGTCCTTTCTTTTATCGTATGAATGAAGTCATCATTTTACGTGTTTTTCTTCCTGGTTTTTCCCAACAAACTGTTTCTTTGATTTCATTGTTTTGCACGATGACTTTTCTGGTTCTGTATTTTCCGTACAGTTTCTTTGCACGTCTTGTGTTATTCACAGGAAAGTGTGGGGTTTTTATAACTGCATCAGACAATTACTTGTTCATTTTTTTGTTGGGAAATCAAGGTATTCATTTATCGAGTGTGCAGTTCAGATTCCGCCCCTTTATTGCTTCTTCAACCTTTATATTTATTGTTGTTTTTTGTTCAGGTGATGGCTTTTGCTGCTTTTAGAGTTTTTCTTTCAACATTCCGATGTAATCTTCCTTTTAAGGTTTTGGCTTATTTTCGAGGTTGGGTTTTCTTGGGAAACTCGTCGCCGAGTCTGCTTTGATTCTTTTATTTCATTTTTTAGAGCAAAGATTACCTTTATATTGTCAGGAATATCGTACCTGGTTATCATGGGTGAATCCTTTGAAGGGAGGGAGTTTGGGGGGGAGTCGCCCTGTTTTGTTGTTGTTGTTGTTTTTCCTTGGGTGGCGGCGGAGAGAGGGGTTTAAACACTGGGTTTCCTGCGGGGGAGACAATTTTAGTTCAGGGGCCTTGCTGTTATTTTTTTATTTCTGGTGTTTGTTTCTCCCCCATATCCTTTATAGTACACTGAAGTAGATACTGTGTAGCAATGGAGGAGAAGGCTTGTTTTCTCGGAGCCCCTTTGGGTAAATGGTTTCCTGCAGCGGAGGGAGTTTTTTGGGTTAGCAGGGTGTCTTCCCTTTAAACTTCAATTTTGTCAAAATTTGGGGTTAATTTTTAGTATTCTTGGGTAGTTTTGGTCTCGGGGTTTAGATTTAAATTTCACTTTGGCCATCACAATTTTGTGGCGAGTTTTTTTGGGAGAAAGGAGCTGGTAGGATCCCTTGCTGCCCCCTGCCGCGGTGTTGAGGGTTAGCTCTTTGCTCACATCACCACTATTTCGGATTTCTAATTAAATCGTCATGCAACTTTCCCACCTTTCACACATGTCACTTTAGAGATGGTTCTCCCGCTTCTGTTTTTCGTTTATCCACACCAATAACAGCTTCCAAAATCTTCGAGTACTTGCAATCACGTTACGAAAAAAAACTTTTCACCTTTGCAAGAACAGCTTCCTTTATTGCCATTTTGTTTGGGCCCGAAGTACGATGGTTGATTGGGTTTGGGATACAACCTGGCCCCCCGAGAACCACTCCCCATTTGTAGTTAGTAAATTTTGCCCTTTTTTCTTTCCATAGTAATTTTCACCTTTTTAAACCCCCCAGGGGGTTGGGACAGAATTTCTTGGGGCCCATGGGGATTATTTTTCAGCTAAAAGCACTAAAAACACCGATATGAAATGTACCGAATGTATGCTTAAATGTGACCGCACTGGCTGGCTTGTAAACACTGGCACCCACGGGGCAGCTGAGGCCACACGTGGGACACGTCCCAGATGAATCACGTAAGGCGAGTTTTTTATCGTGAGGCAAGGCAAAATTTTTCCGTTCAAATGCTTCGTATGGCGGATTTAACGTAAGGCGATGCGTTCATAAAGCTGATTCTGTCCGTGTCATCTGACACACAACGCTCACCAGGTTACACACAGCCTGGCTTCCCACGTGTCCATGTCATGACAGAGACCCACAGGTCCCTGAGGTCTGCTACAGAAGCCTAAGTCAACAGGTGTCCACTCCCTGAAGAAGTCTGGTGGACACACTCAACTGTCAGTAGATGTACATCATAAGGCCATCTGGTGAACACACTTGAAGGCCAGCCACCAGCAGGTGTATTCCGTGAGAGTCTGGTGAAGCCAGTCACCAGCAAGTGTGTCTGGTGAACAAAAACCAGTGACCAGCAGATACATTCCGTGAGAGCCTGCTGAACACTGTCAATCAGGCCGGCTCAGCAGTCTCTACATTGGGTTTTACGACATACCCAGTGGTATTGCAGGCTGGCAGGTTAGCTACTTAACCACCAGTTTGGTAGGAGGCCACAACAATAGTACAGATAAAAGGATAGATTTTTAAGAAATATGAATAAAGAGATCAACATACATATGACTGTTCTCCATAAATTCAGTATGCACTATACAAAAAAAGAGCAGAACAAATATAATTAACAACCATGGGGTAGATGAAAACCTTGACAGCAGTTAATTCTAGTCTATCATCCCTTACTGTATGCAAAGAATTAGCAAAGTATCTAAACTACTGAAGTTACCTCACAGAATACAGAATGTACTGTACAATATGTTAACTCAAAGCATATAAAATGTAATATTGCCTTACAGAATACAGAATGTACTATAATCTGTGTTCATCAAGAACTGCAAGAAACCTCTTTCATGTGCCTTAAACATTCTATGGAGAGGGAGCACAGACACAAGTGTCGTCTCACGGTCACTAAAAACAACATACGTAGCCCCACTCCACAAAGTGGCAGTAAAACAATTGCAAAGAATTACAGACTGAAAGTACTCATGTCCTACATCCTAAAATTTTTTGAAAGGGCTGTAAGAGGTAAGATCACCTGCACCATCCAGGACAACATGAGTATAGAGCAGGTTGCTCCTGCCTCTCAACTACTGGGCCACTATGACATGCTCTTGGATGCAATGAGGGCAAACAAAATGTACATGTAGGTGGAAGTAGGTCATACCCTTGGGCATGACCTACTTCCACTGGAGAATCCTGCCTACCAGTGACGATGCATTCATCTGATACTTATCCCCATTTCACCTGACGCCAGTCTGTAAGTACCAGCCTTCTTGCCTATGCTCCAGATTCTTCATGACTACAGTGCTCTTCACACCAACTCCAAGGCTGAGGGACTGATTACCTCATCTTTTGTATATATGAATATATCCTTTGTCTATATAAATTAGATTCATTTATAATTAATAGAACTATTGTACAACTATGATAAATTTCTTTAGTGTTTAGTAGTCAGTAAGCCATTAAATTAAGTCGGCCCATAATGCTCAGGCATAACAGAGGCTCTCTTTGCACTGCAACCCATTATTGTGAACACATTACTTGCAAATAAATAAATAAATTTGAATTTTGAAATACAATATGAAAATACATCACAAAGTCGCTGTTTTAAAGAAAAACACGATCGCAGTTTTTTTTATCTCATTATGCATTGCTTGCTGCAGGATTTCTTTTATACTGTGCACACTGACCACGCAGACCCATTCTCTCGTATGACAGGCCTACCAGCTTTCTCCCGCAAGATTTGAAGCCGCTAGAATTTTGGCGTTGTATTACAGGACCAACATTGACTTCAAAGTCATAATTTTATGGGACCAACACCAAAGGGGTTAAGGATGAAACTAGGTACATGAATTGGAGGAATGACAGACAAAGACAGGGAGAACACAGAATGAAAGAATTCAGACTAAAAGTGTCTGTGGCAATTTGCAGAAACATTTCCAAGCCTGATGTAAAAGGTACAAGCATGTCAATAAGATACTTGGCTGAATCACAAGAAAGAAAATAAAAAAGGTTTGAGAGAAAACTACAAAATTTTACACATTGTAAATAATCAACAAATGTGTATTACCCAACTGTGGGTGCACACTGCAAGCAGCGACAACCTATCTCATTAGATTAGAAGAGAAGCTTGGCTTCAAGCTGGGAAGCAATAATAAGACTCTCCAAGCCAATCAAAGGTAAATCACAGGCACCATTCTGTTATGAGTTTACCTCAAAATACACAGATTTTTTTGAGTACTGTACCCATTGCAACTGAGTTTTTGCTGGATGATGTAAGTAAAAATAACCTTTTACTCCTAAGATAACCATAAAGTTTGTTCTTACCACTGGACTTTTCTGAAGTGGATGATGGGCTATACCGAGGGTTAAGAACTGTTGGCAGCACAAAGTTCACTCCACCATCAGTCTGCACCTTCAAGTCCATTATACAGCTGATGTTGAGCTCAGCTTCTGATTCTGAAATACAGTACAGTATATACAATTTACGTTTCATAAGACATTCTACATATTGTTTGGAAAAAAGCTAAAAATGTTCCTCTGACACAAAGGTAACTAATACATCAATCAAATGACAGGGCAAGGATAAGTTCTTGGGTATACACCTTGATAGCAAACTAAATTTCAACTCAAACATCCTGAACACTTTAAAGACAATTTCCAAAACAGTAGACGTTCTTAAACATATGATATTATGTACCACAAACACCTGAACTCACTCTGTATTACTCTCTAATCTATCCCTACTTCACATATGGTTTATGTGCTTGGGGATCAACAGCAAATTACCTATGTTGAAAATGATATAAAATAACAAGTTGATAAGACATGTGCAGCAGTATCTTACTGTAATGTTGAAACATTTTGCCTACACAGTAGGCTTCTTCAGTCAAATACAGAGGCAGCAGGTGTAGTAGCAAAGGAATGATGATGTAAACAGTCCATCAACTTTTTTTTTTTTTCAACAAGTCGGCCGTCTCCCACTGAGGCAGGGTGACCCAAAGAGAAAGAAAATCCCCAAAAAGAAAATACTTTCATCATCATTCAACACTTTCACCTCACTCACAGATAATCACTGTTTTTGCAGAGGTGCCAAGATACAACAGTTTAGAAACATATATAAAGATATATACTAAGTAGTAGGTTGGTAGACAGCAACCGCCCAGGGAGGTACTACCGTCCTGCCAAGTGAGTGTAAAACGAAAGCCTGTAATCGTTTTACATGATGGTAGGATTGCTGGTGTCCTTTTTTCTGTCTCATAAACATGCAAGATTTCAGGTACGTCTTGCTATTTCTACTTACACTTAGGTCACACTACACATACATGTACAAGCATATATATACACACACCCCATTGAGTTTTCTTCTATTTTCTTTCTAGTTCTTGTTCTTGTTTATTTCCTCTTACCTCCATGGGGAAGTGGAACAGAATTCTTCCTCTGTAAGCCATGCGTGTTGTAAGAGGCGACTAAAATGCCAGGAGCAAGGGGCTAGTAACCCCTTCTCCTGTATAGTATATTACTAAATGTAAAAGGAGAAACTTTCGTTTTTCCTTTTGGGCCACCCCACCTCGGTGGGATACAGCCGGTGTGTTGAAAGAAAGAAAGATAAAGATATATAACATATCACTCCAAACTGCTAATATCCCAAACCCCTCCTTTAAAGTGTAGTCATTGTACTTCCCATTTCCAGGACTCAAGTCCGGCTATATAAAAATAACCAGTTTCCCCGAATCCCTTCACTAAATATTACCCTGCTCACACTCCAACAGCTCGTCAGGTCCCAAATACCATTCGTCTCCATTCACTATCTAACACGTTCAGGCACGACTGCTAGAAGACCAAGCAACTCGCCCACAAAACCTCCTTTACCCCCTCCCTCCAACCTTTTTGAGGACGACCCCTACCCTGCCTTCCTTCCCCTATAGATTTATTTGCTCTCCATGTCATTCTACTTTGATCCATTCTTTCTAAATGACTAAACCACCTCAACAACCCTTCTTCAGCCCTCTGACTAATACTTTTATTAACTCCACAGGTCATCTTATGTTCAGTAATATACGGTTTGTGGCAGAGCTGTTAACTTCTGAATAAACATTTAGCTTACCTGAAATGCTTTGTATTACTAAAGGCTTTTAAAATATATCAACAATGTAATACTCACAAAAGAGAAAAATTGTTGTATTTTATTTCTTTTTTGGAATTGTAGTTGATAAAGAGAGACAAGAGCCGGATGTGAGTGTGGGGGAGGTGCTTAAGGCACTGGGTAGAATTGAAGGAATTAAAGCAGCAGGAATCGATGGGATCATGACAGAAATGTTAAAAGCAGGTGGGGACAGTTCTGGAGTGGTTGGCACTTTTGTTCAATAAATGAGTAAAAGAGAGGAAGGTGCCTTCAGACTGGCAGAGAATGTGAATAGTTCCTTTATATAAAGGGAAGGTGGGACAAAAGGAGTGTAAAAATTATAGGGGAATAAGCCTATTTAGTATACCTGGGAGTGTATGGTACGGTTATTAACCCTTTCAGGATTTCGGCTGTACTAGTACGGCTTACGAGCTAGGGTTTTTGACGTACTAGAACGCATAAATTCTAGCGCCTTCAAATTTTGCGGGAAAAGGCTGGTAGGCCTAGGTGTGAGAGAATGGGTGTGTGGGGTCGGTGTGCGTGGTAGAAAAAAAATCTGGGACCCAGTGGTGCATTGTGGGAATGCCATGTTAGCAGACCTTGTTCACCATGCCTCGCGGTAAGAAGCTCCTCACTCCTCTGCCTTAATAAGAGGTGATCACCTCTTATTAAGGCTGAGGGACTGATAATCTCTTATTAAGGCTGAGGGACTGATAACCTCTTATTAACCCTTTCAGGGTCCAAGGCCCAAATTTGGAGTCACGCACCAGTGTCCAAGAATTTTCAAAAAAAAAATTTGTTATTTTTACTTATGAAATCATAGAGAATCTTTTTGTGAAGGTAATAAAACAAAAAGTACGAAATTTGGTGGAAAATTGACGAAATTATGCTCTCGCGAATTTTGATGTGTCAGCGATATTTACGAATCGGCGATTTTGCCGACTTTGACTCCCATTTTAGGCCAATTACATTATTCCAATCAACCAAATTCTTAGCTATTTCACTAGTATTACTTCTATCTATCGATTGAGCACAAGAAATCGCCAAGTCAACTGTTTCAACCTACAAAATAAAGTGATCGGAAATTGTTAATTTGGCCAATTTAACACAAAGTTCAAAATATTCCAATTTCAAAATAGGGTCCAGAATGAACAATGTAGCATTCCTGGCACTAAACTAACATTTCCTCTGTTCATTAGTTATGTTTTGAGGCTTTACAAATAAATTCCATTTTGATTTTTTATTCACATAATGAATTTTTTATTCACACCAAAAAATAGAAGATTTACTGTTATGCAATACTGTAATAAATGTATAGATATCATCACCATATTTGTGAATGTATATTAGACCCACCAGCTGGCGTGTATTAGACGTGTGAGGTCGTTGTTTACTCTTGAATATCGGCAAAAATTTAACATTTCTGCACTTTGAGCTCAGTTTCAAGCCATTTCCAGTGCAAAACCAATCAAAATCATCTCTATTTCTGTAATATGTCTTCCATTCTATCAAATGAGACCAAGAAATCGCAAATACAACTATAAAAAATATACGAAAAAACACTGCAAAGTTGCTGTTTTAATCGAAAAATCATGATTTCATTTTTTTTCTCTCATTATACACAGTGTGCTGCAGGATCTGTTTTATGTGGTGCACACATACCACATAGATGTATTCTCTCATATCTAGGCCCAAATGTACCACTCACAGTTTATCAGAGTGAGCTGAGCTCATGGCGTAGATCTACGGTTTGGACCCTGAACGTAAAGCCGTAGATATACGGGACGGACCCTGAAAGGGTTAAGGCTGAGGGACTGATAACCTCTTATTAAGGCTGAGGGACTGATAATCTCTTATTAAGGCTGAGGGACTGATAACCTCTTACTAAGGCTGAGGGACTGATAATCTTTTATTAAGGCTGAGGGACTGATAATCTTTTATTAAGGCTGAGGGACTGATAACCTCTTATTAAGGCTGAGGGACTGATAACCTCTTATTAAGGCTGAGGGACTGATAACCTCTACTAAGGCTAGGGACTGATAATCTTTTATTAAGGCTGAGGGACTGATAATCTTTATTAAGGCTGAGGGACTGATAACCTCTTATTAAGGCTGAGGGACTGATAACCTCTTATTAAGGCTGAGGGACTGATAATCTCTTATTAAGGCTGAGGGACTGATAACCTCTTACTAAGGCTGAGGGACTGATAATCTTTTATTAAGGCTGAGGGACTGATAATCTTTTATTAAGGCTGAGGGACTGATAACCTCTTATTAAGGCTGAGGGACTGATAACCTCTTACTAAGGCTGAGGGACTGGTAATCTTTTATTAAGGCTGAGGGACTGATAACCTCTTATTAAGGCTGAGGGACTGATAACCTCTTATTAAGGCTGAGGGACTGATAACCTCTTATTAAGGCCGAGGGACTGATAACCTCTTATTAAAGCTGAGGGACTGATAATCTCTTATTAAGGCTGGGGGACTGATAATCTCTTATTAAGGCTGAGGGACTGATAACCTCTTATTAAGGCTGAGGGACTGATAACCTCTTATTAAGGCTGAGGACTGATAACCTCTATATTAAGGCTGAGGGACTGATAACCTCTTATTAAGGCTGAGGGACTGATAACCTCTTATTAAGGCCGAGGGACTGATAACCTCTTATTAAGGCCGAGGGACTGATAATCTCTTATTAAGGCTGGGGGACTGATAATCTCTTATTAAGGCTGAGGGACTGATAACCTCTTATTAAGGCTGAGGGACTGATAACCTCTTATTAAGGCTGAGGGACTGATAACCTCTTATTAAGGCTGAGGGACTGATAATCTCTTAAGGCTGAGGGACTGATAATCTCTTATTAAGGCTGAGGGACTGATAACCTCTTATTAAGGCTGAGGGACTGATTACCTCTTATTAAGGCTGAGGGACTGATTACCTCAGAACTACTTTTTCTACTGTCCCCAGTTTTATATTCACCTTCATTTAACTGAAGCTGCTTTGATGGCAAAATTTTTACCAATAAAGATATGCAAGTGTCGCACAGGTGTCTTATTCATCAACTTATCAACGCTGTATACCAACAACTTGTCAATGCTGTATACCAACAACTTGTCAATGATGTATACCAACAACTTGTCAATGCTGTATAACCAACAACTTTCAATGCTGTATACCAACAACTTGTCAATGCTGTATACCAGCAACTTGTCAATGCTGTAACCAGCAACTTGTCAATGCTGTATACCAACAACTTGTCAATGCTGTATACCAACAACTTGTCAATGCTGTATACCAACAACTTGTCAATGCTGTATACCAGCAACTTGTCAATGCTGTATACCAGCAACTTGTCAATGCTGTATACCAACAACTTGTCAATGCTGTATACCAACAACTTGTCAATGCTGTATACCAACAACTTGTCAATGCTGTATACCAGCAACTTGTCAATGCTGTATACCACAACTTGTCAATGCTGTATACCAGCAACTTGTCAATGCTGTATACCAACAACTTGTCAATGCGTATACCAACAACTTGTCAATGCTGTATACCAACAACTTGTCAATGCTGTATACCAACAACTTGTCAATGCTGTATACCAGCAACTTGTCAATGCGTATACCAACAACTTGTCAATGCTGTATACCAACAACTTGTCAATGCTGTATACCAGCAACTTGTCAATGCTGTATACCAACAACTTGTCAATGCTGTATACCAACAACTTGTCAATGCTGTATACCAACAACTTGTCAATGCTGTATACCAGCAACTTGTCAATGCTGTATACCAACAACTTGTCAATGCTGTATACCAACAACTTGTCAATGCTGTATACCAACAACTTGTCAATGCTGTATACCAACAACTTATCAATGCTGTATACCAACAACTTATCAATGCTGTATACCAGCAACTTGTCAATGCTGTATACCAACAACTTATCAATGCTGTATACCAGCAACTTGTCAATGCTGTATACCAATAACTTGTCAATGTTCTATACCAACAATAATTCACTCTCCAACAAAAATTTCAGTTCATGTTTAAAGAATGTGTTTCTAATTAACTTAAATCTGTACAGTTTGTGAAACAGAACCCCATAGTGAATGATATCACCAAGACAACCATCATGGTGAAGAAACACAACCACACACTGAATGATATCACCAAGACAACCATCATGGTGAAGAAACACAACCACACACTGAATGATATCACCAAGACACAACCATCATGGTGAAAAAAACAACCACACACTGAATGATATCACCAAGACACAACCATCATGGTGAAAAAAACAACCACACACTGAATGATATCACCAAGACACAACCATCATGGTGAAAAAAACAACCACACACTGAATGATATCACCAAGACACAACCATCATGGTGAAAAAAACAACCACACACTGAATGATATCACCAAGACACAACCATCATGGTGAAGAAACACAACCACACACTGAATGATATCACCAAGACACAACCATCATGGTGAAGAAACACAACCACACACTGAATGATATCACCAAGACACAACCATCATGGTGAAAAAAACAACCACACACTGAATGATATCACCAAGACACAACCATCATGGTGAAGAGTCATCAGGAAAACCTGACAATCAGTTTGATAGTAAACTAGTGTTGAACACTGGTGTGGAAGAGCCATAACTAGAGTGAAAAAGTCTGAAAACTGTGATATAAATATGTTTGACTGGAAATTTGTGTTAGTTTTCTTATACAGTGGACCCCCGCATAACGATCACCTCCGAATGCGACCAATTATGTAAGTGTATTTATGTAAGTACATTTGTACGTGTATGTTTGGTGGTCTGAAATGGACTAATCTACTTCACAATATTCCTTATGGGAACAAATTCGGTCAGTACTGGCACCTGAACATACTTCTGGAGTGAAAAAATATCGTTAACCGGGGGTCCACTGTACTGTATTTTGTTTTTTTCAACAAGTCGGTCGTCTCCCACCGAGGTAGGGTGACCCAAAAAGAAAATACTTTCATCATTCAACACTTTCACCTCACTCACACATAATCACTGTTTTTGCAGAGGTGCCCAGAATACAACAGTTTAGAAGTATATACGTATAAAAATACACAATATATCTCTCCAAACTGCCAATATCTGAAACCCCTCCTTTAGAGTGCAGGCATTGTACTTCCTATTTCCAGGACTCAAGTCTAGTTATACTGTATATTTATATATAATGAATTTGCATTAAGAAAGATTATTTTTCATCACTGCATGCACCACATTTAATAATTATGCAAAATACTTATGACTGTTGGGTAACATATATGTGGTTCTTCAAAGTATTGACTACAAGATCTTAAAAATAAAACTTCGACAGGGACTCAACAAGCTCAGAGTCATGACTGGCACATCATAGGTAGCTTAAAACAACTAATTTGGTTTCTGAACTGAATAAAAAGTTCAATTTTGTTGTCTAGCATAATATAATGAAATACAGGCACTATTCACTTAACAACCTACCTGTTTAACGACCGCTCAGACTTACAACCAGCTCTCTGGCCAGTCGGTATTGTATGCCGTGCGAAAACCTTTCATCGTAGAAACTGCAGCACGGCATCTCAGCACCAAGCAATCTCCAGGCCTACATATTTTGTCTATAAATTTGTATTTTATTGTGTATCCACAGTACAAGATAGAGTTGGAAATGAAGCAGCACTTGGAAGAAAAAATGGAAAGAATGGAAGTACAAAAGAAATTCATTGTAAAAGGGTTAGCCAGTGTGTTCGTCCGTTTGTTTACATATTCAGCGTCTGTCTCATTCACTCATTCTCTCTCGTTTATGATGGACATCAAGTTGTAGCTGTTAGAAATGATTAAATCAGTGGAAAAAGGTAATTGTGGTTATATTAATAATAATTCTCCTTAGGTGAAGCAGAACAGAATTCTTCCATCGTAAGCCATGCGTTGTCGTAAATGGCGGACCTAAAGTGCCGGGAGCAGGGGGGCTAGTAACCCTTTCTCACTGTTTGTACATGTATTACTAAATTCTAAAAGGGAAACTTTCGTTTTTCCTTTTGGGTCACCCAACCTAGTGGGATACGGATGGTACGTTGAAAGAAAAAATAGTAATTATTAATATCAATAACAACAATCTGGGCACTTCTTTAAATGTCAAATATTTCAGTGTAGGTGTGGTTTAGCTTGCCAGTACAACATCTTATTCGAAATTAAATTACCAGTAGACCCCCGGTTTTCGTATTAAAATCTGTTCCATGATGGGTTGGGCCTAAATCAAAATGGCAAAAAACTGAAGTAATATTTCCCATAAGAATTTAATGTAAATCCAATTAATCCATTTCAGACACCCAAAAATTTAAACAAAATATAAAATTTTTTAAGGAATAACTAAGTGCTGCAGTCTTCAGATGGAGTTGGTAACATCCATTCCTTAACCTTATAATTATTTGTATAGTCTTAATGTAGGCATGAGGTGAGTAGTTTTTATTGTAGAAGTCAGTGTAGGTAGCCCAGTAGTGTAGGTACACGTATGTTGTCCCTCTGGGTTTTACACCTTCTGTCAGTGTTGGTAGCCGGTAGATGTAGGTACACGCCAATGTAGTCCCTCTGGCTACAAACTACCGGGCTCTATCTACACTGCTGCACACAACCATATTATTACCTCGACACCATGTTCCCTGAGTTTAATCATTTCTAACAATACCTTTAGATGCACATCATAAACTATAGGAGACGTATAATGAATAAATTTCATGCCGAGGGAGAGAATTGTACACAAACGCGGATTAAGGGTGGAGACTGGGCCAGTGATAGCCAGATTCACAGTTTTCTCTAACGCTGAATTACGAGAATTCGTTTAATCGTTTACTTGTCACTGACACCACTCGCATTGTTTATTCGTATGTATGTAACATGTTTCTTATGTATTTTGAAGAAATATCATAGATGGATTAATGAAAATTGTCTTAGTATTAAACCTAAAAATAAGACATTTAAGGTGACCAAGGAATGAGTCACGAAAATCACGAGTGGTCAACGTTGAACACATCTAGTAACCAAATGATTTCGAGTGGATGCACGAAATCCGAAAAAAAAGTGCTCGATTTCCAAATTGGCCGATTTTTGCCTGGCTGAAAACTGGGGGTCCACTGTACATGACCTTTAAAGTGCCCCAGAGTGATTATTATTATTACTGCTACCACGAATACCTTGTTCTCTGATTTAATAATTTCTATCAACTACCGATTAAGTGCCCATCATAAACAATAGCAACAGAGAAGAGATGAGATGGGACGAGATGTAAACAAATACATGTATATTAATTTTGTATGCTTATGGCTGGTTCTTAATATTCATTTACACACAACGTTTGTGAGCTTTTACCACCAAAAACATTCAAGAACAACTCCAGCTAACCCTTTAAGTGATTCTTTTGTAATTTTCCATTATTTCCTCTTTTTCTTTCATTTTTTTCTACAATAAATACTTCTCTCCTCTCAATCTTCATTAAGACTAGAAATATTTTATGGTAATATGAGTCACTGTATGTGTATTTTACTTTTTATTTTTAATACCTAGTTCAATATTTAATATACTATATATGTTACAAATAGTGCAAAGGTAACATTAAAATAATATCTAAAGTTGACTGACACAAACGCACTACCGGTACAGTATGCCTGAAATATCGATAAGGGGCGGCTCCTAGCTTATCGACCAAGTCTGCTCGAAATGCCTCGACATGATAGTGGCTTTCTTTGTACCAATTAAATTATGAAATGCAAACACACATTGTAACCTTAGCAAAGAAATAAAATTTTGATTCTGATTTGAATTTGCTTACCAACCTACTCATAGGAATGGAACTCGGTCGTTAAGTGAGGAGGTGCCTGTACAGTTATTATTTACAAGGTAACTGACCTGCAGGGAGATTGCCAAGGTCCAGATGCAACACATCTGATGCATTTTCATCCTGTCTAGCTAAGACTGCTGTTTTTCCAGCACTCACAGCCTCTTTGTACACATTTTCAGCCTGCCAAATACAATGAAGAAAATCAAATTTTTTTTATGAAAAGTTTTCTGGTAAACACAATGAAAGATTTAAGATCAGCCAGTAATAGGGAAACCTAACTAACAACCTAATGAATAACAGTACTGGTCTCTGTATAATGATTTATTGCTAACTGAAGTTTACAAAGCTAATTAACAGCCTATTAAATTGAGGATAGTGTAGATAATATATTCAATGATTAGGTTTAGTTAGTAGGTTAGAGACAGCAAGTGCCCAATGGAGTACGACCATCCGCCAAGTGAGTGTAAAACAGAAGCCTGAAATTGTTTTACATAATGGTAGGATTGCTGGTGTCTTTCTTCTGTCTCATATACACACAAGATAACAGGTATATCTTGCCACTTTTACTTACACTTAGGTCACACTACACATGCATGTACATGTTCATGTATACACACTAATCTGAGTTTTCTTTGATTTTATCTTAATAGTTTTTGTTCTTATTACTCTTCCTATCATATTCATGGGGAAGTAGAACAAGCCATGTGTGCTGTAAAAGCTCCTAAAATGCTAGAAGCAATGGGCTAGTAACATGTTAGTTTTCTACATAAATTAAAGCACACTATGCGTGAACAATATGTAGATAAAGGTAGGGAAGTTTTCATTTCTTATATGGATTTAGAAAAGGGATATGATAGGGTGGTTAGGGGAGCAATGTGGCAGATGTTGCAAGTCTTGGATAGGTAGTAAGCTTCTATTGGACTGAAAGAGTTTTTTGATAGTGTGGCTCATGGTTATATGGGTGTGGAGGAGAGAGAACAGTTCACTTTCTGTATTAGTAGTCAGTTGACAGGGATGTGTTGACTAGGTCACAACTAGTTAGTTTATTTCTCTCTATCAGGACGTATCACCACCGAGGCAGGGTGGACCAAAAGGAAAAAACCGAAGTTTCTCCTTTCAAATTTAGTAAATTTCTACAGGAGAAGGGGTTTACAGCTCCTTGCTCCGGCATTTTGTTGCCTCTTACAACACACATGGCTTTTGGAGGAAGAATTTCGGGTTCATCTTCCCCCATGGAGTAAGAGGAAATAACAAGTACTAGAAAGAAAATTAAGAAAACCCAGAGGGGTATGTATATATTCGCTTGTAAATTTATTGTGTAGTGTGACCTAAGTGTAAGTAGAAGTAGCAAGACGTACCTGAAATTTTGCATGTTTATGAAACAGAAAAAAGGACACCAGCAATCCTACCATCATGTAAAATAATTACAGGCTTTTGTTTTACACTCACTTGGCAGGACGGTGGTACCTCCCTAATATATATTCAACATTCGATAATATACCTCTTTTCTTTCCATTACACTGTGCAGAAATTGTCCGTCCTTCCTAGTGAGCTTCTAATTTATACACGGCAGCACTCTCATCAACTGGAAGCCGGTAGTGAACCTGTAATGTTCCATTAAACTGATGTTAAGTTCATATAGTGTGTGCTAAAAGTTCATAATAAATAAATGTAATCTAAACTCATAAAATCATAATAAGACAACTGAAAAATTATGGAATGTGTGGAGTTTTAGGACTCACTTGCCATGGGTTCAAACCTCACCCATTCCATGATTTAAATTTAATCTCACCCACCATTATATTACTTTTAACAATCACTAGAAACCAGTACTTTCCTAACATTACTTAAGACAGAAATGGTTACTCCAATACACAAAGGTGAAGACCCAAAAGATGTAAACAATGATAAGCTAATATCTAACTTACCAGTGCTATCCAAAATTCTTGAAAAATATAATACACAAGAGATTATACTCCTTTATAACATTACAAAGTATTCTCAACCCCTTTATAACATTACAAAGTATTCTTAACCCCTTCATAACATCACAAAGTATTCTCAACCCCTTTATAACATCACAAAAGTATTCTCTACCTTTATTAACATAATCAAAGTATTCTCAATAACCCTTTATAACATTACAAAGTATTCTCACCCCCTTTATATACATCATAAAGTATTCTCAACCCTTTTTTAACTTCTCTAAAATGTATTCTAACCCCTTTTATAAACAACACAAAAAGTCATTCTCAACCCCTTTTTACAATCGCAAAGTATTCTCAACCCTTTATAAACGTCACAAGTATTTCAACCCCTTTTATCAATTATAATGTATTCTCAACCCTTTATAACATCACAAGTATTCTCAACACTTTATAAATCCACAAATGTATTCTAAACCCTTTGTAACATCATACAAGTATTCTCAACCCCTTTATAACGTCACAAAGTATTCTCAACCCTTTTAACATCACAAAGTATTCTCAACCCCTTTATAACATCATAAAGTATTTCCAACCCCCTTTATAACATCTCAAAGTATTTCTCAACCTCCTTTATAAAATCACAAAGTATTTCAACCCTTTTTACTTCTCATAAGTATTCTCAACCCTCTTATAACGTCACAAAGTATTCTCAACCCTTTATAACATCACAAAGTATTCTCAACCCCTTTATAACATCACAAAGTATTCTCAACCCCTTTATAACATCACAAAGTATTCTCAACCCTTTATAACATCACAAAGTATTCTCAACCCCTTTATAACATCACAAAGTATTCTCAACCCCTTTATAACATCACAAAGTATTCTCAACCCCTTTATAACATCACAAAGTATTCTCTACCCCTTTTATAACATCTCAAAGTATTATCAACCCCTACCAGATTTGTTTTAGAAAAGATTACTTTACATAGTCTTGAAAATAATGATATCACTAGACCATTATTAACCTTAGAAAAAGCTTTTGATACAGCAGACTGCAGCATCCTACACCTTATACTTGATCATTATTGCATCAGAGGTCATGCACTTGCATATATGGAAATATAAACACATTTGCAGTTTAATGTGATCCTTCATTGACAACGTTTCGCCCACACAGTGAGTTTTTTCAAGTCACAAACAGATCTACCTGGGGTGGAAGGTACGCGAATATTAATAGCCAGGTTCAGAATGTAAGTGTGGTGGAGGTACGTGAGGCATTACGTAGTGTAATGGGGGTTTTAAAGCAGCTGGAACTGATGGGGTTCATGTCAGAAATGTTAAAAGCAGGGGGGTATATATAGTGTTGGAGTGGTTGGTACTTTTGTTTAATAAATGTATGAAAGAGGGGAAGGTACCTAGGGATTGGCGGAGAGCATGTATAGTCCCTTTATATAAAGGGAAAGGGGACAAAAGAGATTGTAAAAATTATAGAGGATAAGTTACTGAGTATGCCAGGAAAAGTATATGTAGAGTTATAATTGAAAGAATTAGGAGGTTAAGAAGAATGTAGATTTGTGGAATGCAGCAAAGGAGGCTTCAGAGTGGGTAGGGGATGTGTGATCAAGGATGTTTACATTGAAGAATATATGTGTACAGTATTTAGATAAAGGTAGGGAAGTTTTTTTGCATTTATGGATTAGAAAAGGCATATGATAGAGTGGATAGAGGATCAATGTGGCAGATGATGCAAGTTATGGAATAGGTGGTAAGTTTCTTAAATGCTGTAAAGAGCTTTTATGGGATAGTGAGGCTCAGGTTAGGGTGTGTAGAGTGTGGGAGAATAATTCCCGGTAAATGTAGGTCTTAGACAGGGATGTGTATGTCACCATGGTTGTTTAATATATTTATAGATGGGATTGTAAAGAAGTAAATGCTAGGGTGTTCGGGAGAGGGGTGGGTTTAAGAGATTAATAATTATGGGGAATCAAATTCAAAAATGGGATTTGACAGTTACTTTTGCTGATGATAACTTTGTTCTGGGGAGATTTCTAAAGAGAAAAATTGCAAAGGTTAGTGGATGGAGTTTGAGAATGTGTGTTAAAGGTAGAAAGTTGAAAGTGAACAGAGAAAAGAGTAAGGTGTATGAGGGTATCAAATGATTTAAGATAAGAAAAAATTTGGATATCAAATTGGGGGGCGGAGGAGGTGTATGGATGAAGTGAAGTTTTCAGATACTTGGGAGTTGACGTGTCGGCGGATGGATTTATGAGGATGAGGTTAATCAAAGAAATTTTGAGGGAAAAAAGGCGATGAGGTGTCGCGTTGAGTATATTTATTATTTTATTATTTTTATTATCACACCGGCCGATTCCACAAGGCAGGGGGCACGAAAAGAATAAACTTTCACCATTCATTCACTCCATCACTGGGTCGTGCCAGAAGGGTTGCTTTACACTACAGTTTTAAAAAAAACTGCAAATTAACACCCCTCCTTCAGAGGCAGGCACTGTACTTCCCATCTCCAGGGACTCAAGTCCGGCTGCCGGTTTCCCTGTATCCCTTCATATATGTTACTTTTGCTCACACCCAACAGCAGGTAATGTATTAAAAACCATTTGTCTCCATTCCCTCCTATCAAAAAACGCCACGCATGCCTGCTGGAAGTCCAAGCCCCTCGCACACAAAACCTCCTTTACCCCCTCCCTCCAACACTTCCTAGGCCGACCTACCCCTCCTTCTTCCACTACGGACTGATAACTCTTGAAGTCATTCTGTTTTCGCTCCATTCTCTCTACATGTCCGAACCACCTCAAACAACCTTCCTCAGCCCTTGGGACAACAGTTTTGTAATCCCGCACCTCCTCCTAACTTCCAAACTACGAATTCTCTGCTTATATTCCAACCACCACACATTGCCCTCAGACATGACCATCTCCACTTGCCTCAGCCTTCTCCTCGCTGCAACATTCATCACCCACGCTTCACACCCATTTAAAGAGCGTTGGTTAAAAACTATTACTCTCATCCATTCCCCTCTTTGCCTTTCCAAGGACAAGTTCTTTGTCTCACAGACTCCTAAGTGCCACCACTCACTCTTTTTACCCTCATCAATATTCTATGATTCACCTATCTTTCATAGACATCCGCTGACACAGCTCCACTACCAAATATTGAATCGTTCACCTCCCTCCATTAATACTCTCTCCCTCCAATCTGATATTCAATCTTTCATCACTCATCTTTTTATCCTCATACCTTACTCTTTCCTGTATTCACCTTTAATTTTCTTCTTTTGCACACCCTCCAAATTCATCACCAATCTTTGCAGCTTTCTTCAGAATCTCCCAAGAGACAGTGTCATCAGCAAAGAGCAGCTGTGGACAACTCCCACATTGTGTGTGATTCTTTATCTTTTAATCTCCACGCTCTTGCAAGACCTCGCATTTTACTCTCTTAAACCCATCTATAAATTGATTAATACAACACGGTGTCATCACACTCCTTGTACTAAGCCTACTTTTACTGGGAAAAAATTTCCCTTTTCCTCATTCTATTACATACTCCTTACTACTCCTATTTACCCTAACTGCCTCTCTTTTAGTTATAAACCTTCACCTCTCTCTTCCCTGATGCTTCTATTCTCCTATGTATCCCATCATACCCTTTTACTCTCTGTGTAGTACAACTAGAAAGTGATCTGATATTTCTGTGGACCCTCTATAAACATGTACTCCTGAAGTCTACTCAAACAGTCTTTTATCTACCATACATAATCCATCAAATACTGTCATTTTCGCCCTAAGCTACGTGTATACTTATTTATCTCTTTTTTTAAAATATGTATTACCTATTACTAAACCCCTTTCTTTACAAAAGTTCAATCAAGGGATCCATTATCATTCCCCCCCCCCGGCACCCCTAACTTACCTACCACACCCTCTCTAAAGTTTCTCCTTACTTTAGGCTTCAAGTCCCTACCACAATTACTCTCTCCTTGGTTCAAAAGGCTCCTATACATTCACTTAACATCTCCCAAATCTCTCTCTATCCTCTGCATTCCTCTCTTCTCCAGTGTACACGTTATTATGACCCACTTCTCGCATTCCAACCTTTACTCTTAATCCACATATTCTTGGAATTTACACATTCATATTCTCTTTCTCTTCCATAAAGATCATTTAGACATTATGCTACCCCTTCCTTTGCTTCTAACTCTCTCGTACTCCAGATTTAATCCCATTTATTTCCCCCCAACGAAACTCTCACCCCCTTCAGCTTTGTTTGCTTAGCCAGGACATCAACTTCTTTTAATTCATATACATCAGCAATCATCTGTTTCTTGTCAATCCGCACTACATCCACCACATTTAAGCAACCAGTTTTTTTATAAAGTTTTTCTTCTTCTCTTTTTTAGTATTGTTACAGGAGAAGGGGTTACTAGCCCATTGCCTCCCGGCATTTAGTCGTCTCATACGACACGCATGGCTTACGGAGGAAAGATTCTTTTCCACTTCCATGGACAATAGAAGAAATAAAAAAAAGAACAGCGCTATTTAGGAAAAGGAGAAAAAACCTAGATGTATGTTCATATATATTGCATGTGCGTGTCTGGAAGTGTGACCAAAGTGTAAGTAGGAGTAGCAAGATATTCCTGTTATCTTAGCGTGTTTATG